CCTTACGCTTCTGAAGACTGGTGTTTTTTATTTTGTTTTGGTTCGGGTGGTATTGTAGTGGGATTTTCGTTTTATGGTTTTCTGAACTGCTGACATTATTCTGAATTTTTTTTCTACTTTTAGGCTGTGAATTGTATCTCCTGTGGCTATAGCTACATCAAAGGTGGATATTTTTTGTGTTAAGGCGGAGTTTAGTTTTTTTTTGCTTAGTACACTTTCTTCAAAGTATGTTAACAGTTGTTTACTTATGATTATTGTGGTTCATTTAGGTGTGTCTATTATGTTAGAAGCCTTCTTTTTTCAGAGTGAATTTAGTTTTTTTTATGGTGATATTTGATCCTATATCTTGTACCGTGGTTTTTCTAAGTTTCTAATTTTCTAAGTTACTCTGTGAAATCTTGGGGTGTTGATAAGTAATTTAACCTTAAGCTCTTTATAAAGTACGTTATGCTCTTTAAATTTATGTAGGAAAATGAGGTAGTTATTTCTATTAAGTAATTTACAGTTAAGTTTTTCGAAACCTCTAAATTCCTTTCAAAGTCCAGATTCCTACCGGATCTTTAAGTACTTATGGTAAAAATATGGTGATAGGATATCAGTCGTTGTCATGGTTAGTAGCCTTGACAACGGCCACCTAAATCTAATTCTTAATTAAAGCTACTAATTAATAATTAGACTTAGGTGGTGGTATAGGTTACTAACCATGACAACGATTGACATCTGATCGCCACATTCTTACCTGTAAGTACTAATACACCAGACAATTGAACGTTAAAAGGGTCCTCCGATGAGACAGCGATAAGTCTAAGGACTTACAAAACTAAAATACAGGGATCGATTCCTCGCGGTGGACACAGCAAATAGCCCAATGTGGCTTTGCTCTAAACCAACTAACATTTGAATGTTAACTTTAGTATACTGAGCTACCGAACGTGAATTTTCATCTGTATTTTAAACCTGAGGCTGGTTTATCAAAAATATTTTTTCAAAGTTTTAAATCATTTGAAAGTGTGTCTTTCTTTCAAAAAAAAAGTGGGGAATAATTTTGTTATTCCACACTAAATGAAAACAGATATATATATATATACACACTATAATATTAGATAAGAACAAAGAGGTTCACAATGAGTTACTTTAATGGCAGTTAAAACGAAGAATACATACACACAGGGTAAAAAAAAAGAGATGTAGGTTAAACATAATCTAAAGTTATGATTTTGATTTAATTGAATTTGTAAATGTTGTTGTTGTTATTCATTACATTATAAAATTTTTAGTGCTCGATTTTAATATTTAAAATGATGCCCCCAGTGGCACAGCGGTATGTCAGCGGACTTATACCGCTAGAAACCTGGTTTCGATACCCGTAGCTTTGTGCTTAATAACAAACAACAACAATTTAAAATGACCTAATGCATTTTATCGGTTATTTTACTTCTTTCAAACACATAAATAAAGTATGTTCTTTCACACGTAAGGTCCGTTAAATATTTTTAAACAACTTATACTGTAGAAATTTCACTGTTTAGTGTCGTCAAAGAGCTTTTCATAAAGGACGATGTTAGAAGAAATGAAAGCATTTGAATATACAGAAATATTCCTTGTGTTAATTCTGTTATGACTAAAAACTAACAATAGTACGTACATTTACTAAACAAATGCAATACTGAGAAACATGTTTTGTATATAAGAAAAATAAATTCACCGCGAAAAAATAAATCTTACGTAAATTTGATTTCAAATTGTTCTTGGATTTTTCGAAGTACAACAAAAAAATTACTTGAAAGGTATCCCCAAGTTGTTTTTTTTAAATTTTAGAACACCCAATAAATTAAACCTCTTTCACGAAATGGAACTTTCTTCATCAGAGATGCTTTAAGCTACGATCATTACTTATGTTTGAGTTAGTAAGCTAAGGACCTAGCGCAATGAATTATAGATAACCTTGATACTTACAGCAAGACTGTGGTGGTCCGATATCAACGATTTTCATGGCTAGTGGCCTATTCTATCCCGTAAGCTAGTTATTAATTATTTGTTTTACTATATATTATCTTGAAGTAGTTTTAGCCTAAAATGGATTTAGTTCTCTTAAACAAATCGTGTTTCACATTTGTCTTTTAGATGTAATGTTGTCAGACGGTCTTCCTTATAATAACTATTTTTAATGGTTATAGTCTAGATTTGGTTGCTGTTATGTTGTTGTGTTTAAGAGAAGTCATGAGAAGGACGGTTTTAGTGGCGATAGTGTCAAGAATTTAATTTATATGCAAGAAGGAAGGCAACACCGTCAACTCGTGATTTGACCGACACTTTAATAATGCACAAACTGACCTATGGTGCTTAGTGCAATTTGTTTGTGCTTTTTCTTTTTTTTTTTGACAGTAACGGGGCTCGAATCTCAGAAGCTCGTATACATAGTCCGACACTCTAATCGCTTGGCTCACTATGGATTGGAATAATACGAAAATAAGGGGATATGAATTACACATATAAATAAAACCTCCTAAACCCACCTAACTAAGAAGGCACTCATTCAACCAAACGTAAAATTCAACAAAAACACTGTTATCCTGTTGAAAGCATTCAGATCAAGCTCTAATGTAGAAGATGAGAAGATAACACATCAACTTCTATCAAGAAGACGATCTAATCCCAGCTTCTACTACCACAGAAAGAATTATTCTTAGAACTTCCCTGAGGATGGCAGGTCATTAGCATTTGAAACATGGGATAAAGACTAATTAGTACTTAGTACCTAGTAACAAGAACAGTAGCTTATTAATAATTAGATTTCAATTATTCTATAGGCCGCTAGCTATGGCAACAATTATTAATCTTTCTGCATTATTCACTACGTCGGTCACTGCATAGAGATCGCGTTCTGAACCTTCCGTTACAGTAAATAACATCATAAGAGCTTATGAAGTAAGTTCTAGAGTTAAAATTCGTTAGACCAAAATAAAAGGATAAGATTACTTCAAATTAATTTTTTTCAAACACATCAGAAGTAGATTAATTCTTCAGAGTTTAAAAACATAGTATAGATTATGCACAGTTTTTTAAGTGCCTTGGTGCCAACCTGAAATATCTTTAACCGGTTTTCGTGATCTTTCGCGTATTTATTCTATAATCAAGAAGAGAAACTGCTAAGAAAATGGAATTCGAAACACGTCACTTCTAAAACAGTTGCCATGGGAACATGCAACCCTATCAAATTCTAGTTATTTTAAATGAATTACAAATTCAATCCAGTCTGATTCTTCACCACTTTAAATATATATATATATATATAATAAAAATTATATACATTTATTAACATTCTCTGGATTTTCGACAAAACATCTGTATAGAAAAAGTATACAGGAAAACACAGAGCTATAATCTTCGAAGTCAGCAGAATTAATAAAGATTTTTAGGTTTATTTACTCAATGGGCCCGGCATGGCCAGGTGGAAAAGGCGCTCGACTCACAATCTGAGGGTCGCGGGTTCGAATCCGCATACCACCAAACATGCTCGCCCTTTCAGCCGTGGGGGCGTTATAATGTCACGGTCAATCCCACTATTCGTTGGTAAAAGAGTAGCCCAAGAGTTGGCGGTGGGTGGTGATGACTAGCTGCCTTCCCTCTAGTCTTACACTGCTAAATTAGGGACGGCTAGCGCAGATAGCCCTCGTGTAGCTTTGCGCGCAATTCAAAAACAAACAAACAAACAAACAATTTTCCAAGCTAATGGTCTAGGTAGATCATAAAATCTGTTGAGAGACGTTGAATAACGTTGATGGTGTCTATATTCGTATTTTTTGAACAATATAAGACATTGGTAAAAACCACCATAAGGAATATGGTGAACAATTTTCGGAAATGTAATAAATTGCCTCAAATAGTATAAACAACGCCATTATGTCTCCATAGAAACATAATGTTCTTCTATTGATTCTTCTTGTTCCAAACACTTTTCAATCGACCGCCATTTCTTCGTTCCTCGGCGAATTGATTTGAAACTTAGTAGAGTTATATCTTGATCCAATGTGCCCATTTTCATTTAGGCCTTTTTAAGACTTTTATGGGATCATAGGTCAAACAATCCGAAAATGTGCGGTCATATTTACAGCAATCAAGAAGAAATGTGGCACAAATTCAAATTTTCATGCGCCCAACGCATTGGCATACAAAAAAAATAAATTAGATTTGCCCATTCTGAGCTCACAAGAAACACAATTTTGTGGTTTTTGTCAATTACTCAGTTGTATATTGACCACATTACATGGGATTTGGTACAGATATATTTTTCTATAGGTTACACACCTTGAGAAACAAAAAAATATTGGACTTGTCTATTTTTAGTAATTGTGGGAAGTCAAGATGCCACATAAAGCATAATTTTATAGTTTTTGACAACTATCCCACTGTATTTAGGCCCATTTACATGAGATGTGGTATAAAGATACTTATTATTACATGTCCCAAACAAAGATATGGGCAATTTTGAAATTTTTGTCTTTTGCTCAATTTTTTAGCGAGGAAAGCAGAATTTGAGGTTTTCGTGAACCATACATGTGTATGTCAACCACATTACATGGGACTTGGTACACTTGCGGGTCCCAAGCAGTTATATAAGGTAGTTCGATTTTACTGTGTGTTTTCACGATATTTCTGGTCAGAAAATTGGCCACGTTGGGATTGCGTGTTGCATTAGCCCGCCAATGTTGGCCTCTTTTTTTTTAATTTTTGAAGTTTTTTGTGATCTTAAATTAAAAGTTCTCAACTAAAAACAAAACGAAAATATAAGATGAGCAATATAAGCTTTGACAATCAAATTACTATTGTTTTAGAATTATACTGACGGATTTATGAACAATTATGAAATCTAGCATATTCTGCTTTTAGCCATTTACTTTCTAAAATAATTACCTGTTTTTAAATCATAATATGGTCAGTCGAGATACAGTATATATATATTTTTTATCACTGACTGTTATTGAATTTGATTTCCATAGTTAGGCCTCTTGCTGTGAAGCTCACGAACAAAAACCGCCCGCTTTCTGCGGACCATTCCTCAAATCTGAGATGCACGGCTGGTGGATCAAGACCTCCGGCTCAAATATCTTGGTGGAAAGGTAGTATGCAGCTTAAAAGTGCTAAAATACTTACACCACCTGATGTGGGCACTAATGGAAACATAACTGTTAGCGTGCTGACCATCATACCAACAAGCGATGATAACGGTAAATACTTGTCCTGTCGAGCAGAAAATGTTCTAATTCCAGGAAGTGCTATCGAAGATGGATGGAAACTACAAGTTCATTGTAAGTATTTCATTGTTTAAGTAATAACAATATTTCGACACTGTACTATCTATATGAATTCCATACAATACCATTAACGTGCAGAAGAAACTATCTATATAAATTCCATACAATATCATTAACGTGCAGAAGAAATTATCTATATGAATTCCATACAATACCATTAACGTGCAGAAGAAACTATCTATATAAATTTCAGACAATACCATTAACGTGCAGAAGAAACTATCTATAAAATTCCACACTATACAAAACACGTTTAACCGTGAGGTTACGTTATCTATGTTTAAGTTTCTTATGTACGATTAGACGAATTTCTTCTGCACGTTAATGGTATTGTATGGAATTTATATAGATAGTTTCTTCTGCACGTTAATGGTATTGTATGGAATTTATATAGATAGTTTCTTCTGCACGTTAATGGTATTGTATGGAATTTATATAGATAGTTTCTTCTACACGTTAATGGTATTGTATGGAATTCATATAGATAGTTTCTTCTGCACGTTAATGGTATTGTATGGAATTTATATAAATAGTTTCTTCTGCACGTTAATGGTATTGTATGGAATTCATATAGATAGTTTCTTCTGCACGTTAATGGTATTGTATAAACGAAGTTTAGTTCAGTATGAGGTTTGTAACTAACAAAACAAATAAAATTGATTAGTAGTTTTTGATAACGAAATATTCATTCAACTCTTTATAAGGTTAAATAACATATTATTGTAAACTGCCTATTAAAAAAATTGATTGCATAAAAGCTACTTTGAAAAGTATCCATTATATTGTGAATAGTTATGCTACAAAAATCCTGTTGGTTTCTTTTCAAACATTTTACGTTCATTGATGTTTCCGTAAAGTACTGTTGAAGAGGTAGAACTCTATGAGATATAAAGCTCATTAAATGAAATATAAGATTTTTTTTTTACATAAGCCATAAAACGACTTCCGAACGAAGTCACGAAAACGTTACTTGTACGAATAAACCCAAGACAGGCCATGCATAAGTGACATCTACTTTGATAGACGATAATGTTACGTAACATTTTTGTGATACTTAAAAGAAACTTATAGTTCGAATTTGTTTTTCTTCTTATGTTACCTGGATGCTATACTTGTATGTATACGAGTAGTTGTTCCACAACTGTCACTTCGTCTTGGGAGTAAACTGCGTCATAGCCGTATTCAAGAAGGAAGTAACGTTTACTTCGAATGTAATATTCGGGCCAATCCTTCAGCAACGTATATCAGCTGGAATTTTGAAGGCCTTGAATTACAAGCAAATACATCGACAGGTGTGATCATCAGTAACCAATCTTTGGTCCTTCAGAAGGTACATCGTTCCAGTAGAGGACGCTACACTTGCTTAGCAACCAACAGTGAAGGACAAGGAGAGAGTAATGCAGTGTTTCTTAGAGTCCAATGTAAGTGATTTACTTCATCTATTGTCTCTATAATTAATAACTGTATTGGTAGATATCTTTTTTTTTGTTCTGCCTAGATTTAAACTTTTGGAATATTAATTGAAAATAAAATGAGAGGACTGATAAACAAATATAAAAATGTTTTACGCGTATGAACGAAATTAAACGAACGAATCTTTAATAATGTAGTATTCACATGATGCAAAAAAAAAAAATCCTCTGGCTATAATGAAGGCAAAGTACCTAATTTTTCGTCCACTGCTGGTACAGGGTATGTTTACGCACTTACAACGCTATAAACCGGGGCTCGATTCCCTGCAGTGGACACAGCAGATAGCTTAATGTAGCTTTGCTCTGTAACAAAGCCTGTTTTTTTTAATTTTTATTGGAACTTCAGAGGTAGAGATATTATTAATAAAAAATATTAAATTTCGTTGATTTCGATTGCTTATAAATTAAATATCGGGGTGTTTCTCGTTAATGATGTGAAAATCTGTGGTATTTACGATATTTAGAGAATCTTAACATTGCCTTAAGCTATCGCTTGGAGTAGGACTGAAGTAGATTGCTTTCACACACTGTTTAATGACCACTGGTTTTATTTTGAGTGCCTTTCTCGCCACAGGAGTTAAAATTAAATTTGTTTTGATTGCTAGTAGCTCAATCACAGTGGGTTACTTTACCTAAATACTAGTTGTTAGCCTTAGTTAATTCGTCATACATAAATAGCATGTATCTTAATAACGTCATGTTACAATATCTCTCAAGTCTTAAAACATATCATTATATATATTCACAAGTTTACTGCATATTAAGGAGACTGCACTTTCTTTTGTTCACCTTCATTACCATTTACGTCGTGTTTCTTAAATTATACTGTAGTTAAAAGGTTTCTAAAACTAACATGACATTAAGTAACGTATCCTAGAAATCGAAACTACATAAGCGAAGTCGTACTTTTATTGCACTCAGAATACTACTACAAAGTAATATACTAATATTATAAAGTCAAATTAATACGGACGTCGATTTTGTTTTAAAGTAGCTTTTAATGTATCATATTATGCATTAAAATGTGACGTAGCATAATATTATGCTATGCGTTATAAAATAAAATTCCATTGGCATTAGTGGTGTATTCATATATTACAACTGAAACTTGCAATTACATTTTAACTGTTAAGGTAACCTGCAGTACATTATTTAGGTCAAGTACGTGCTTTATATTCAGATTCAGTTGGATGGTTGTAATTAAGCACAAAGCTACATAATGAACTATCAATGCCCACCATTGGTACTGAAACCCGGTTTCTAGCGTTGTAAGTCCGCAGACATACCGCTGTGCCACTGGGGGGGGGGGGGCTTATATTCAGCTGTACATCCTCTCGTTGTGAACAAGCTAAACACTTCAAATAAAGATAAGATAAAATAAATATTCAATAAAATGCGTACGTAAGTAATCAATAAGCTGTCGTTATTATTCAAATAACAATATAAGTTAGTAGTTACAAGTCAATCAATCATCCGTTATTCGAAAACTTTAAAGGTGCGATTATTAATTCTTTTATAATCGTTACAAAATGTAGAAACAGCAAATTATCGTAAGTAATCAATAAGCTGTCGTTATTATTCAAATAACAATATAAGTTAGTAGTTACAAGTCAATCAATCATCCGTTATTCGAAAACTTTAAAGGTGCGATTATTAATTCTTTTATAATCGTTACAAAATGTAGAAACAGCAAATTATATATCTATCTGATAAATGTAATTCAGCCTCAGGTTGATCATTACGAGTCCACAAAGCAAGAATATGAAATAACAAAAAGTTTAAATTACAACTACAGAATATACGAAAGGCATTCTAAGTTGATGCGCCTATCAAAACCTAAACCTAGGACTATCATCCGAGCTACTAACACCAAGTAACAAAATATTTACATGTGCATTTTAATCTAAAGCATAGCAGTTGGTTAAACGAACTCAACATATTACGTTGTTTTTTCTTCTGTGCTTTGGCATGGTGTAATATTAACAAAATGTTAGAATTTTTAGATTCACATTTGTTCTTCAGTGTTTTCGTACATAATACAAATCACCACGAATGCATGTTTTAAGTAATACGTCTTGAAATCAGACAAATGGTTATACACAATGTAAATACATAAAAACACCCGTTATTAATTCATTAGTTAAAATAATTTTAAGATATGAATCTAAGTTTCAAATGGACAGCAACTGCCTGTTGTAGAAACCTACAAATGTAGAAGACGACGTCGTCCTCAACATTTGTAGGCTTCTACAACAGGCAGTTGCTGTCCATTTGAAACTTAGATTCATTATGAATACTCTGCCTAAACAAGCATATCAAAAATGTTAAGATATATCATAATAACATATTTTCTTTATATAAATACCTTGGAAAGGAAAAAAAAACATTTAAATAAAGATACTTTTTTTTACTACATAGCTTAAATGAACCTAAAAACATTAATAATGAAATGAATTCAGAATTCTTAGTTATTCAGTTCATGATTAATTTGTGGTAAATCTAATACTATTCTGTTATACTTCTTACTGCGGAACACTTCCCAACGTTGCGTTAATAATTATACTGTTTTGTAATTTACTTCCCAAGACCCCCCACAGTGTAAAAAGGATCAAAAGTTTATATACGCAGCAACTATGAATGAGGGAGTCAAAATATCCTGTGAACTGGAAGCTGACCCTACGGATGTCACATTTGAATGGAAGTTCAATAGCAGTGGAGGGGTGGTGGACATCATAAACTTCATAAACGATGGAGCCACGAGCTACGCGACCATCATTCCTCGAAACCAGGATGATTACGGTTCGTTGTACTGCTGGGGAACAAACATTGCTGGAACACAAAACAACCCTTGCATATACAATGTGATACCCGCCGGTAAGTTTCATAAAATCATCTGATAACAAATCAGTTTGTATGATAAGCCTATCAGTTCTTATATTTTTGAATAACTTTACATTATCATGCTTAATTTTTACAATTAATTACTGCTGAGCTACGTCTGGAGAGCTGCATCTTTCGTTGGTTTTACGCTTGATAATCATGAGTTCAAAACACGTGAATTTTCGAAATTGTTTTTTAGTGCTTCTTCTATTTACAAATTAAGGAAAGATGAGTTAGATTTTTAATCATATTTCATAATAAAATAGCGTCCTCGAAACAACTTGTATAAACACAGAATTATTAGAAAAGTGTTTTATAGGATTGCTAATATTTAATTCGAGGGCTTAGGAAAATGTATTCGCCAACGACGTAGCGTGGCTGCATTACTAAAGAAAAATTACAATATGATTTATAAGCTTGTAAGACAGCAAATTTTCCAGCATTATAATAGTCCTTTGTGTAAGTCATATTGTGGTTATGATTTCATAGCGTAACCTACTTGATCTGATCAAGCCTCAATCTTTTGTTAACTACTCTCTTCTGTTGCCTCTGGATGCTAACTCTGAAATATCATATAAGTTAAGGAAAGACGACGTAATAGTGACTGACACGTTAAAATTAACTTCAGCGCTACGCTTGATCTAATATAATAGCATGTCCCAAACGTTTAATTTGTCGAAGGTTTGCCTGAACATTTTCATGGTTACTCACAGTCTGCGAAACCAAATATTTTCATCGTTGATGTTCTTATGAGAGAAAATTGAGAACACAAACGGGTGTCTCAACTTTATACAAGTGGCAGTCAACATTTGAATTGATCAGCGTTTTATATTGTACAAAATATATTTCATCAGGATAGAGAAGTGCATAATATAAGTTTAAATTTTCACTGTATCGTTATTTTCAAGATTGTCAGAGACAAATCTCAGATGAACGTTTTAGCGAGACAAATATTTCCGACTCGTGTCAAATATATTGAAGAATTTTATCAAAATGCAGCACAGCAGCCGTTTGGTTATTTATTTACTGATTCGAAAGCACAAACTCTAGAACAAATGCTACTGAGGACAGCACTGTTTCCGGATGATAAAATTGTGGTGTATTTACCCAAATAAAATCAAAGTTGATGTTTCATTCAATGTGTATTCATTGAATATGATGAATGTGGCCTTGATAGAACTAGAAGGCTTTTTATCTGAAGCACTGGCTTTATGTGATTAAAGAACTTGCATTCAAATGTTTAGGGCCCAGCATGACCAGGTGGTTAGGGCGCTCGACTCGCAATCTGAGGGTCGCGGGTTCGAATCCCCGTCCCACCAAACATGCTCGCTATTTCAGCCGTGAGGGCGTTATAATGTGACGACCAATCTCACTATTCGTTGGTAAAATAGTAGCTCAAGAGTTGGCGGTGGGTGGTGATGAATAGCTGCCTTCCCTCTAGTCTTACACTGCTAAATTAGGGACGGCTAGCGCAGATAGCCCTCGTGTAGCTTTGCGCGAAATTCAAAACAAATAAACAAACAAATGTTTAGCCATTGGAAGTTTAGGTTTGTTTTTGTTTAAGCCGCTATTTTCGAGTGATTATCTTTCGGATACAAATCAATGTAAATGGATAATGCGCTAATTTCATCATGTCCCCCGGGAAGTAAAACATCGACTATCCCTACCTTTGGAGTGTGGCCAGAATGCCGTGAAGGAATTTCACTACAGTCTCCACGAAAGGTAAAGAGAAAGACTGGGAAGCCTGCTGAACTTTCCATGCTACAATTTGGAATTGAATAGATGTCCCCATGTTAATAAACTTCCAGTATCAACTCTATCTTATTAATATCATACGAGTTGAGCATTATCATTGTAGTGTAAGTGTAGATGGTATATTTAACTGGATATACGGTATTGTATAAATAAACAATTTTTGTATGACTTATAATTACCACTACGTGCGAACTCGATTCATTTAATAATCATGACTCTTAGAGCTGTTTTGTGCATTGCCTAAAGCACCATGTAATTATACAGATTAAAGTGCCGGGGCTAAAAATTATTTCTTATATGTATTTGTGAATATGCTTTAAATGTTTTAAAAGGTTAACATTCCTATGATGAATATACATAAACAGAACCTTAGACGACACAGGTCATTATTAAGAGGGTTGTCAACCAAGAAAGCTTCAGATAAACAGAAAAGAAACTTACTGATTCAGAAAGGACAGTTTCTGTCATTACCTATACTTTTACTACTTGGTGGCTTGGAGAACGAGCTATTAGAAAAACTGCTGAAGTTTAAAGTTATAATTTCAGTTTTGTCGTGTTTTCTTTTATTTATTTATTACATCGACGATCTCGTCATTTGGTTCTCGAGAAAGGCATATCGATTAAAGTTAATTTCACATAAAAGCGTTTTGAAACAAAATTATGAACAAACATATCGTTACTATTTTTATCGGATTTAAGCCTAGTTAATAGCTTTCGTTTCGACACATGTCGGCAACGATAATATACATAATAATTACAATATTGTCCAAACATATACCAATATATTCCTTGTAGTACTTTTCTACTTTGTCCACACGTTCTATAACGAGACATGTGGATGGATGCTTGACCCAAAAATGCATTATCAATAGAGGCTTGTTGGAAGTTTCAATGATCATGAATCCATCTTGACTTTTAACTTGAATTATTCTTATTTATGGTACATCAACCATACTAAGTTGATTCTTATTTAGGGTACGTCAACAATACGGGGTTAAATATTATTTATGGTACGTCAACAATACTAGGTTGCACAATATCTGTGTACACGTAGAGTGAATAAAATCACCGTGTATGTTAACAGTGTATGGGTTTTATTAAGTACGATTATTATCAAATACAAATAGCACTGTTAGTACAAGACCAAGTATTATGAAGTCTTTATCATTCACGTTTATACTTACTTTTCTGGTGAACAAATCGTAAGTAAATATAGATTTTTTTTGTCTGATTTATGATGCAATTATTCTACTTGGTTTAAGATTCTAATTAAATCTTCAGGTTTGTTGTAATGACCCAGTCTAATATAATTGATTACATTACCAAACTGAGGGTTACAAAGTATGAAGGCCACTTCCCACAAACCTTCAAGTTCGATATGTCTCGAAATATGAGTTACATGATTCGTTTGAATATTGGTGGTAAAACAGTTCACAGAACTATTACCAGGTAACGTCACGTACAACTGACGCATGGTGAATAACGATTACCAGAGTTATATATATACTTAACACTTGATGATGACAGGCGATCACATTTGTCACGATATCCTTTCCATAATGCGAAATACTGTTTGTTTTTACCAATTCCCCTACTTTTTCCACATCGTAGACGACATTGGGGGACTTGATTACTTGTTGTAGTTCAGATTCGTAAAATGTTCCACTTAAGATTTCTCCAAGATAGTCTTGCAGCTGTACACTGGAGGATTTATTTCAATCTCTTGTGAATCGTGTAGACTTATTCTGTCCCTCCAGGTATATATATATATATATATATATATATATATATATA